TGGAAGCACAGAATCGTCTAGAATGTCATTGTATGCTGTAGCGTTGATTTACCTTCACTGGAACATTTGGGCCTAGCCTGAACCATGAAAAAGCCCCAGACCATCATTCCTCCTCCACCAAACTTTACAGTTGGCACTATGCATTCGGGCATGTAGCATTCTCCTGGCATCCGTCAAACTCAGATTCGTCCGTCCGTGATTCATCACTCCAGAGAAGGCGTTTCCACTGCTCCAGAGTCCAATGGCAGTGAGCTTTACACCACTCCAGTCGACGCTTGGCATTGCCCATGGTGATCTTAGGCGAACAGTTCTTGTGCTGACGTTGCTTCCAAAGGCAGTATGGAACTCGGTAGAGCGTTGCAACCGAGGACAGACGATTCTTACGCGCTTCAGCACTTGGCTGTGTGGCCTACCACTTCGCGGCTGAGCCGTTGTTGCTTCTAGACGTTTCCACTTCACAATAACAGCACTTACAGTTGACAGGGGCAGCTCTAACAGGGCATACATGTGACGAACTGACTTGTTGTAAAGGTGGCATCCTATGACGGTGCCACGTTGAAAGTCACTGAGCTCTTCAGTAAGGCCATTCTACTGCCAATGTTTGTCTATGGAGATTGCATGGCTGAGTGCTCGATTTTATATGCCTGTCAGCAACGGGTGTGGCTGAAATAGCCAAATCCACTAATTTGAAAGGGTCCACATACTTTTGGCCATGCAGTGTACCTGTGATGCACACAAAGTACTTTATTTCAACACAAAATCACCCCTCAATAACGCAACTCTGTGTAAGGAACAATGTCTACAATAACATGGTGAAACGCTTGTGACCATAAAGGATCATAATTCTTTCCTCCATCATACCTCCTTTAAAGGGGCAATCAGCGGTTGAAACAATAACAAAGTGTTTTTCTCCATCTGCTTCGGTAAAAAAGCTGAGGGTTGGGCTGAAGAAATGTAATCACTCAAATTCATAGAGTTATGGATGCAGGGACTGACCATCCATGATATCAAAATTAAAGTTTTAACCATGTCTTTAGGATAAAGTGTTTGTATACATTTACATTGTTTACAAACATTGGAACTAAAGCTCATGAGGCATTTTAAAGACATTCTTCAAGAATTAAATGGTACTATATAATTTATGTCCAAAAATGAATCTAGCCACTGCAGATTTTCCCTTTAAATATTCAGGAAATTGACCACTTCATGCATGATATATTGGAAACCACTAAACATACTAAGCATAAGATGTCCTTTAAACTAGATGGCTCTATATGTGAATATGAATATACTTAACGTAGTGATTTAATATAATATCTATGTACAGAATAAATAATATTAAATTAAGTAATTGGTCTACAGATGAAATCTGAGATGAAAATAAATGTATTTGCCAGATCCGTCATGAGGTTATTAAAACATACATTTGTCTTGTTGAAATCGTTTTGAAACCCTACGACCAGAATATACCAATATTACAGGACATGTTGTAGTGTCTGACAACAGGGTAGGTCTTCTGTCATGTAGAGACCAGGGTTGGGGTCAAATTCCATTTGAATTCCAGTCAATCCAAGAAGTACACTGAAAAGCCAATTCCAATTCTAGTCTATGGTTTTCATTGAGGAAAATGTGGAATTGGAATTTGGTTTACTTTCTGAATTGACTGGAATTGATCCCAACCCTGACAGAGAATTAACATCAGGAGGTTAGAAAGACACTCAAGTAATACTTCATCAATAGCTTTGGACAGTTTTTGAGGGATTATTGGACTGACTACAGCTTTCGACGGATCATTGGACTGACTACAGCTTTCGACGGATCATTGGACTGACTACAGCTTTCGACGGATCATTGGACTGACTACAGCTTTCGACGGATCATTGGACTGACTACAGCTTTTGACGGATCATGGACTGACTACAGCCTTTTGACGGATCATTGGATGGACTTAAGATTTTGACGGATCATTGGACTGATTACAGCTTTTGACGGATCATTGGACTGACTACAGCTTTTGACGGATCATTGGACTGACTACAGCTTTTGACGGATCATTGGACTGACTACAGCTTTTGACGGATCATTGGACTACAGCTTTTAAGGGATCATTGAAGTCGTTTGAGATTCAACTCTAGTCCACCACAAAGAAATGGAAAGAATACACTGAGTATACTAAACATTAGGAACACTTTCATAATATTGAGTTGCCCGCTCATAAGTTGAGTTGCGCGCCTTTTGCCCTCAGAACAGCCTCACTTCGTCGGGGCATGTACTCTACAAGGTCTCGAAAGCGTTCCACAGGGATGCTGTTCCATGTTGACTCCAATGCTTCCCACTGTTGTGTCAAGTTGGCTGGATGTCCTTTGGGTGGTGGACCATTCTTGATACACACGGGAAACTGTTGAGCATGAAAAACCCAGCAGCGTTGCAGTTCTTGATACAAACCGGTGTGCCTGGCACCTACTACCATACCCCTTTCTAAGGCACTTAAATCTTCATTCATCCTCTGAATGGCACACATACAGTGAGGGAAAAAAGTATTTGATCCCCTGCTGATTTTGTACGTTTGCCCACTGACAAAGACATGATCAGTCTATAATTTTAATGGTAGGTTTATTTGAACAGTGAGAGAGAGAATAACAACAAAAAAATCCAGAAAAAACGCATGTCAAAAATGTTATAAATTGATTTGAATTTTAATGAGGGAAATAAGTATTTGACCCCTCTGCAAAACATGACTTAGTACTTGGCGGCAAAACCCTTGTTGGCAATCACAGAGGTCAGACGTTTCTTGTAGTTGGCCACCAGGTTTGCACACATCTCAGGAGAGATTTTGTCCCACTCCTCTTTGCAGATCTTCTCCAAGTCATTAAGGTTTTGAGGCTGACGTTTGGCAACTCGAACCTTCAGCTCCCTCCACAGATTTTCTATGGGATTAAGGTCTGGAGACTGGCTAGGCCACTCCAGGACCTTAATGTGCTTCTTCTTGAGCCACTCCTTTGTTGCCATGGCTGTGTGTTTTGGGTCATTGTCATGCTGTAATACACATCCACGACCCATTTTCAATGCACTGGCTGAGAGAAGGAGGTTCTCACCCAAGATTTGACGGTACATGGCCCCGTCCATCGTCCCTTTGATCCGGTGAAGTTGTCCTGTCCCCTTAGCAGAAAAACACCCCCAAAGCATAATGTTTCCACCTCCATGTTTGACGGTGGGGATGGTGTTCTTGGGGTCATAGGCAGCATTCCTCCTCCTCCAAACACGTCGAGTTGAGTTGATGCCAAAGAGCTCGATTTTGGTCTCATTTGACCACAACACTTTCACCCAGTTCTCCTCTGAATCATTCAGATGTTCATTGGCAAACTTTAGACGTGCCTTTATATGTGCTTTCTTGAGCAGGGGGACCTTGCGGATGCTGCAGGATTTCAGTCCTTCACGGCGTAGTGTGTTACCAATTGTTTTCTTGGTGACTATGGTCCCAGCTGCCTTGAGATCATTGACAAGATCCTCCCGTGTAGTTCTGGGCTGATTCCTCACCGCTCTCATGATCATTGCAACTCCACGAGGTGAGATCTTGCATGAAGCCCCAGGCCGAGGGAAATTGACAGTTATTTTGTGTTCACCTTCTCACCAAGCTGCTTGGCGATGGTCTTGTAGCCCATTCCAGCCTTGTGTAGGTCTACAATCTTGTCCCTGACATCCTTGGAGAGCTCTTTGGTCTTGGCCATGGTGGAGAGTTTGGAATCTGAGTGATTGATTGATTGCTTCTGTGCACAGGTTTCTTTTATACAGGTAACAAGCTGAGATTAGGAGCACTCCCTTTAAGAGTGTGCTCCTAATCTCAGCTCGTTACCTGTATAAAAGACACCTGGGAGCCAGAAATCTTTCTGATTGAGAGGGGGTCAAATACTTATTTCCCTCATTAAAATGCAAATCAATTTATAACATTTTTGACATGCGTTTTTCTGGATTTTGTTGTTGTTATTCTGTCTCTCACTGTTCAAATAAACCTACCATTAAAATTATAGACTGATCATTTCTTTGTCAGTGGGCAAACGTACAAATTCAGCAGGGGATCAAATACTTTTTTCCCCTCACTGTACACAATCCATGTCTCAATTGTCTCAAGGCTCTACACTGATTAAAGTGGATTTAACAAGTGACATCAATAAGGGATCATAGCTTTCACCTGGTCAGTCTATGTCATGGAAAGAGCAGATGTTCTTAATGTTTTGTATACTCAAGTGTGTACCCTCCTCCTAGTGGTGTCAGCTCCCTATGGTGAGGTTCTCAACACTCGTCACCATCTAGCCACGCTGTGATGTATGGAAGAACAGCCATTTCTCTCTTTGCAGCATGGCCATCTAGTGAAAACAGTTTTCAACCTCAAGTATGAAACATGGACTGAATAGATGGCTACAGGCCACACAGCTGATCTGGTAGAATGGTGTACGGTTGTGTCCCAAATGGTACCCTATTCCCTATATAGTGCACTACTTTTTTACCAGGACCCATAGGACTCTGGTCAAAAGTAGTGCCCTATATAGGGAAATAGGGTACCGTTTTGGGACATACCCAGCCATCATTCTCCCAGATCAGCTGTGTGGCCTGTAGCCATCTATTCTAGTCATCTGAAGGGACAAGCATACTATTTGGAATGTAACTGACACTAAAACAGAGGGATGATTAGAACTACAATAATATATAATGCTACATGTTAACTGAATCATCCAGCCAGTGGCCCCATGAAAATCACAGTCAGTTAGCATCATAACCTGTTTAACATGAATATGACTGCTTTCTAGTATAATTCCCAGACTGTGTATATGTATAAATGTATATGTGTGTGTATGTATATGTGTATGTATATATGTATGTATAGCTAGCTAGCTAGATAGATATGCTTACGTGCTTGTGTGTGTTTTCAGTTTCTGTGTACATCTATGTGTGTGTGAGTGTGCATGCGTACCTGTCTGTGTGTGTGTGTGTGTGTGTGTGTGTGTGTGTGTGTTCAGTTCTCTGTATCGGAGGAGTCCGAGACATGGTCAGCCAGACGAGCTTGTTTCTTTCTGACGTTCCAATGCAGACACTGAGCCAGACTCTCAAACCAGTCATACACCAGGTCATGACAACAGATAGATGGTACTGGGTAGCACGACGTAGTGATCTTTATACTGCAGGGAGAGAGGAGGGGGAGAGGAGAAGAGAGAGGGAGAGGTGAGGAAAGAGAAGGTGAGAAGAGGAGGGGGAGGTAAGAGGAGTGGAAAGAGGGAGAGGTGGGGAGAGGGGGAGAGTAGTGTGAGGGTAAGAGAGAGAGGAGGGGAGAGAAGAGGAGAGGTGGAGAGGATAGGGGGGGGTGGAGAGGAGAGGGGGGGTGGAGAGGAGAGGGGATCAGGGTTGATTAGTGTTCTAACATAGATCTTACATTCTACCTGCTAGTATGTCGGAGCTATTACACTATAGTAAATGGTGGTAAGGTGAAGGACAGTGAAGTTACCAATCTCCATGTCTGATCTCCTGTCTCTTCCTACCGTCGAACGACACCCAGCAAGTGTTCCTGGCATCAGGGGAGAGGGTGATCTGCAGACAGACAGAGAGACAGACCAGGGGAAGAGTTCAACACAGCCATAAGACAGACAGACAGACAGACAACACCCTCCCCACCCCACTCCGTTCCTTCCCTCCCCTTTCCTCCACACTCTCACCATCAGCTCGACCCCAGCAGGCACCACTATAGGTCTGAAGGAGAGGGAGTGTGGGCAGATGGGGGTGACCATGATGGCTGGGACATTAGGATGGATCATTGAGGCTCCTGCTGCTGCTGCATACGCTGTGCTGCCTGTAGGGGTCGACACGATCACACCTGAAGAGAAGAGGAGATAGATGGAGAGATCGAGAGGTGCTCAAGATAGAGGAGTATTTGTTGGTGCCACCACTGTGTTGTGTCCTGTACTCACCATCTCCCTGTACAGAGGTGATGAGGCGTCCGTCTAGGTACAGGTCAACATTAGACAAGTAGGAGGAGGGGCCTCGGTCCACCACCACCTCATTCAGAACCTACACACACACACACACACAATGTATGTATGTTTTTTTGAACAGCATAGTTTTGAAACAAGGAATAATGGTTTAATGAACTGAGATTGGTGAAATAGTATTTGATGGCCTGTCTAACCATTCATTGCTTTGTCAACATTGGACAATGAAAAACCACGTTGTTAAGCTAGCTAAATTCAAATGTGTCAATTAGCTTACTAGCTAGCTCCAACTGTTTACTGGTGGTAGCCATAGCAACATGGCCACCGAGGCAGCGCTAGCAGCACAAGCAGCAGCAGAGACCAGCAGTCCAGCAGAAATCAAATCAGGGAAGAATCAGTTTTAAACACCGAATTCAGAGGGAGAACCCATAAACTTGCTGACTGCTCACACAACAGGACGGTTACAAACCTTTTATTTTACACAGACCCCACTACTGCTTGGCATACAGCTGTAACCAGGCATTTCAGCTATACAACAAAGAAAGGCATCTGCAAGGGAAGGCAAACCCACACTTCTGAGGACAGTGAAAAGGAAAACCGGTTTGTGACGGTAAACGTGTGCCAGAACGGCACTGTCATGGTCCAGGGCAGTGAGGCTGCACTCAGCTCTTTTGTGCAGGACTTCCCCACCCTAAGGAAGACACCGGAAACCAAAAAGGACAAGGACAGCACCCCGACCTCTCTCCTCACCTCAGGCACTCCAACAGCAGGAGCCCAGACCCACACAACAGCTCTGTCCTCCCCCCTGCCTGACTACGACCACCAGAGCCAAGACCACACCACCATCAGCCTGCTGAGAGACGGGCCGGCTCTGTTAGAGGTATGGGTTACTGAGCTAAAGGAGCAAGCCCCCAGCTACACCACCTCCAGCCCGGACACAGAGCTTCTACAGGACCAGATCAACCAGTGCAGGACCCAGCTGAAGAACACTGTCCAGGAGCCGAGAGAGAGCCTTACCACAGCTCTTGAGGAAGTAAAGGTCACCATGAGGAGAGAACCTTACCACAGCTCTTGAGGAGTACAGGCCACCATGAGGAGAGAACCTTACCACAGCTCTTGAGGAGGTAAAGGTCACCATGAGGAGAGGGCATCACCACAGCTCTTGAGGAGGTAAAGGTCACCATGAGGAGAGGGCATCACCACAGCTCTTGAGGAAGTAAAGGCAACCATGAGGAGAGAACCTTACCACAGCTCTTGAGGAGGTACAGGCCACCATGAGGAGAGAACCTTACCACAGCTCTTGAGGAGGTACAGGCCACCATGAGGAGAGAACCTTACCACAGCTCTTGAGGAAGTAAAGGCAACCATGAGGAGAGAACCTTACCACAGCTCTTGAGGAAGTAAAGGCAACCATGAGGAGAGAACCTTACCACAGCTCTTGAGGTGGTGCAGGCAATCATGAGGAGAGAACCTGTGCAGGTACAGTGCCTTGCAAAAGTATTCATCCACCTTAGCATTTTTCCTATTTTGTTGCATTACAACCTGTAATTTAAATGAATTTTTATTTGGATTTCATGTAATGGACATACACAAAATAGTCCAAATTGGTGAAGTGAAATAAAAAAATAACTTGTTCTACAAAATAAATAACGGAAAAGTGGTGCGTGCATATGTATTCTCCACCTTTGCTATGAAGCCCCTAAATAAGATCTGGCGCAACCAATTACTTTCAGAAGTCACATAATTAGTTAAATAAAGTCCACCTGTGTGCAATCTAAGTGTCACATGATCTCAGTATATATATATATATAATATTCCAACAATTGTTTACAGACAGATTATTTAATTTATAATTCACTGATCACAATTCACTGAAGTTTACATACACTAAGTTGACTCTGCCTTTAAACAGCTTGGAATATTCCAGAAAATGTCATGGCTTTAGAAGCTTCTGATAGGCTAATTGACATAATTTGAGTCAATTGGAGGTGTACCTGTGGATGTATTTCAAGGCCTACCTTTAAACTCAGTGCCTCTTTGCTTGACATCATGGGAAAATGAAAAGAAATCAGCAAAGACCTCAGAAAAAAAATGGTAGACCTCACAGGTCTGGTTCATCCTTGGGAGCAATTCCACAAAAACCTGAAGGTACCACATTAATCTGTACAAACAATAGTACGCAAGTATAAACACCATGGGACCACGCAGCCATCATACCGCTCAGGAAGGAGACGCGTTCTGTCTCCTAGAGATGAACGTACTTTGGTGTGAAAAGTGCAAATCAATCCCAGAACAACGGCAAAGGACCTTGTGAAGATGCTGGAGGAAACGGGTACAAACGTATCTATATCCACATAACCTGAAAGGCCGCTCAGCAAGGAAGAAGCCACTGTTCAAAAACCGGCATAAAAAAGCCAGACTACGGTTTGCAACTGCACATGGGGACAAAGATCGTACTTTTTGGAGAAATGTCCTCTGGTCTGAGCAAACAAAAATAGAACTGTTTGGCCATAATGACCATCGTTATATTTGGAGCCATCCCAACCGTGAAGCACGGGGGTGGCAGCATCATGCTGTGGGGGTGCTTTGCTGCAGGAGGGCCTGGTGCACTTCACAAAATAGATGGCATCATGAGGAAGGAAAATTATGTGGACATATTGAAGCAACATCTCAAGACATCAGTCAGGAAGTTCAAGCTTGGTTGCAAATGGGTCTTTCAAATGGACAATGACCCCAAGCATACTTCCAAAGTTGTGGCAAAATGGTTTAAGGACAACAAAGTGAAGGTATTGGAGTGGCCATCACAAATCCCTGACCTCAATCCTATAGAAAATGTGTGGGCAGAACTGAAAAAGCGTGTGCGAGCAAGGAAGCCTACAAACCTGACTCAGTTACACCAGCTCTGTCAGGAGGAATGGGCCAAAATTCACCCAACTTATTGTGGGAAGCTTGTGGAAGGCTACCCGAAACGCTTGACCCAAGTTAAACAATTTAAAGGCAATGCTGCCAAATACTATTTGAGTGTATGTATACTTCTGACCCACTGGGAATGTGATGAAAGAAATAAAAGCTGAAATAAATAATTCTCTACTATTATTCTGACATTTCACATTCTTAAAATAAAGTGGTGATCCTAACTGACCTAAGATAGGGAATACATATATACACATCTGTTCTGAAAGGCCCCAGAGTCTGCAACACCACTAAGCAAGGGGCACAAGCAAGCGGCACCATGAAGACCAAGGAGCTCTCCAAACAGGTCAGGGACAAAGTTGTGGAGAAGTACAGATCAGGGTTGGGTTATAAAAAAATATCAGAAACTTTGAACATCCCACGGAGCACCATTAAATCCATTATTAAAAAATGAAAAGAATATGGCACCACAACACACCTGCCAAGAGGGCCGCCCACCAAAACTCACGGACCAGGCAAGGAGGGCATTAATCAGAAAGGCAACAAAGAGACCAAAGATAACCCTGAAGGAGCTGCAAAGCTCCACAGCGAAGATTGGAGTATCTGTCCATAGGACCACTTTAAGCCGTACATTCCACAGAGCAGGGCTTTACGGAAGAGTGGCCAGAAAAAAGCTATGGCATAAAGAGGCTCCCCAAACATATGGAAGAAGGTACTCTGGTCAGATGAGACTAAAATTGAGCTTTTTGGCCATCAAGGAAAACGCTATGTCTGGCGCAAACCCAACACCTCTCATCACCCCGAGAACACCATCCCCACAGTGAAGCATGGTGGTGGCAGCATCATGCTGTGGGGATGTTTTTCATCGGCAGGGACTGGGAAACTGGTCAGATTTGAAGGAATGATGGTTGGCGCCAAATACAGGGAAATTCTTGAGGGAAACCTGTTTCAGTCTTCCAGAGATTTGAGACTGGGACGGAGGTTCACCTTCCAGCAGGACAATGACCCTAAGCATACTGCTAAAGCAACACTCGAGTAGTTTAAGGGGAAACATTTAAATATCTTGGAATGGCCTAGTCAAAGCCCAGACCTCAATCCAATTGAGAATCTGTGGTATGACTTAAAGATTGTTGTACACCAGCGGAACCCATCCAACTTAAAGGAGCTGGAGCAGTTTTGCCTTGAAGAATGGGCAAAAATCCCAGTGGCTAGATGTGCCAAGCTTATAGAGACATACCCCAAGAGACTTGAAGCTGTAATTGCTGCAAAAGGTGGCTCTACAAAGTATTGACTTTGGGGGGTGAATAGTTATGCAGGCTCAAGTTCTGTTTTTTTGTCTTATTTCTTGTTTGTTTCACAAAAAAACGTATTTTGCATCTTCAAAGTGGTAGGCATGTTGTGTAAATCAAATGACACAAATCCATTTTAATTCCAGGTTGTAAGGCAACAAAATAGGAAAAATGCCAAGGGGAGTGAATACTTTCGCAAGCCACTGTAAAGGAGGAGATGGTAAAGGAGCTGTCCTGTCATCAAGAGGGTGCTGCAGCACAGAGAACCGACTGTAGAGACTCCTAGAGAGAATCTGCAGGCCCTCATCAATACCGGAGTGGGCACATTCGCTATATAATGCAAAATGTTTTGTGACAAAACCATTAGCAGAGTTGAAAATGCAATGGAAAACCATTTAACTTGTATTGTTTTATCCGGTACATGGGAATTTAACCACTAAATGTATTTTTATGTGCACTAGGTCATGACAAACAGCCTTTTATCCGCAAAAAAATTGATGGAAACATCTCTGCATGGAAAATGCACCTTGGGAAATATGCTAATTTGTGGGGACCCAAATGCACACACAGGAACTCTACCTGATCTAACGAGCACACGAGGGGACAGCTTTATTACAGGCCATACTGTTTCTAACTGTCTTCATCTCCCCCATAGAAACAACAGTGACAGCACCATCAACAAAAAAAGGAAGGGATCTTCTGCAGCTTTGTCGAAGCCTGGGTCTGTACTTTGTCAATGGTAGGTTACGAGGGGACTCTTTGGAGAGATTCACCCATTGCTCACCTCTTGGCCACAGCACAGTAGACTATATGATTACACACACTGACCCTTTCTCTCTCAGCTCATTCACTGTCAAGCCACTAACGCCTCTGTCTGATCACAGCCAAATGACCTTGTTCCTCAAAAGAACAGACGTGGATACAACCACACATTCACAGCCCAGTGAGCTGTACAACATCAGCAATTCATACAGATGGGCCCAAAACAGCACAGAAGAATACCAGAAAGCAACCAAAAAATCCAAACACTTTCTGGATACCACATCCACTCAGTCTTGCAGTAAAAAACAACTATATATTCAGGCAAACAGCAAAATAAGCACAACTGAAGAAAAAGAAAAGACTACAGATTAGTTTTTTTTACAGATTGTAAAATTATCAGGAAAAAACACTATTAAACCAAAAGCACAGAGACCCAAATAATAGTGAACGATGTCTTAATTACTGTGAGACTCTATAAACATACTCAGAAACAAAACAATCACAGTAAGCAAGCAACTGACACTAATTGAGGAGTCCATGAACACAAACAACTTCTGCCAAAATTGGAAACCTACCCCCCAAAAAATTAAAAAATTAAATATAATATATATTTATTTTAAATCGAGGAATTAGCGATAGAAAATGGTGACATATGGACAACCCATTTTAAAACACTACAACACCGTTCAAATTGATGGAAACGATGAACAATGCCAAATTCATGAGA